ATTTGGGCCAACGCTGCTGCGGCCACCATGTGGTCCAGGGGCAGCCGGTGCCAACCCTGTCTCCTGCCTGCTGGACTCTGGGCACCAGGCTCAGCTCATCGAGTTCCTCATCATTCATTATGAGCAGATCTTCGGGATGGACGAGCTCCCCCTGGCTACTGAGTCCCTGCCCCAAGAACCCAGCCCAGCCTCTGGGCCCCTCACGTCCAGCCCCCGGCTGCCACCCCCACACCTTGTCCCAGACCCCCAGCCCCCATCCCTAGCCTCGGACCTCAGTCCAGATCCCATGCCCCACAGTGCCCTGGAGAAGCATCTTGAGGCCACGCCCCCCGAGGTAGGAACCTGCTGGGCCCACAGACATGAGGTGGGCCTTGTCTCTGTTTATTTCTCTCAGTCTTTCTATCTTCCTTCCTTTCCCTTTGAGATTTCTTTCATTCTCTTTCTCCCTTCTTTTAACCTGTGCTCATTCTGGAAGGAATAGTGAGGAATGGAGTGGTGCATAATAATGGAGTAACAATAGGGGAAAGCCCTGCAGAGGTACTAACATGGGTGATCATTCATTCAAAAGAACATTTATTGAACACCTACTGTGTGCCAAGCACTGTTCTAGGCATTACAAATACATCTGGAAGTTAAATATCAGAAAAAACCATCCTCTCAGTGCCTGCATTCGGTGGGGAGAGACCAACAGTAAACAATAAATGTGATGCAAAGTCAGTTGTATAGGGTGTTACATGGAGAAAAACAAGGGTAGAGTAAGAGACAGGACATCAGGCCACCAAGGTGGGAGGTGGAGTTTGTCACAGTTAATAGGACGGTGTGGTGAGATCTTATGGAGGTGGATTTGAGCAAAGACCAGAAGGATGTGACGGAGAAGTAGGCCACGTGGAGATCTGGGGAAGGGTGTTCCAGGCAAAGGGAACAGCCAGTGCTAAGGCCCTGAGGTGGGAGCACACTTGGTGTGTGAGTGACGAGAAGGTGGTAGGAAATGAGACCACAGGAGGGTTGGCCCAGATGGCTCTGCCAGGCGCCACTGACCTACTATATACAGGGTGTACGGGTCACACTGAGCACTTACTATGTGCGGGGCACAGAAAACCATTGAATGAGCATCTGCTTTTCATGGAGTGCCGTATGGGTTTCCTGTCATCCTCAACCACAGTCCCAAGAGGCAGATACAAGCTCTGTTAGAGAAAACTTTTTTTTTTTTTTTTTTAAAGATGACCGGTAAGGGGATCTTAACCCTTGACTTGGTGTTGTCAGCACCACGCTCACCTAGTGAGCTAACCGGCCATCCCTATATGGGATCCAAACCCGGGGCCTTGGTGTTATCAGCACCGCACTCTCCCGAGTGAGCCACGGGCCAGCCCAGAGAAAACTCTTTACAGACGAAACAACTGTCTCTGAGTGGTTAAGCAACACTGAAAGGGGAGCCACAGCAGCTGGAATCTTTAACAGAGCGCACCAGCAGGATCCAGAACTCATCTGCCAACCAGGAAGACAGGAGCTGTGGCCATTCTGGGCAACCAGAACAGTCCATGCCCAAGGACTGTGTGTGGGACTCCTATGGGAGGCTCCTTTCTCCCTGGGATCCTGCTACACCCACCATTCCTGAGAACAAGGACCTCCCCCACAGCAGCCCAGAGCTGGGAAGGGATTCGTGGCTCATAAAGTGCTCAGGACAGTGTCTGACATGTAGAAAGAACTCAAGCTGCTATTACCATGTAGCAAAAAGCAGAACACTGAGAACATACAGATAAACTAAAAAGCAGACGTAATGTTTGTAAGGTTGCAGAGAGCAGCACAGGACAGAGACTGGTAATTCAGAGGCACTACCAGGTCCTCATGCTGAGATGGCTGAGCCACCCTCAGGGCTGGCTTCTGCTGAGCAAAGAAGTCCTGCCTTCATGTGAGACTTAACTAACACTGCTCTGTGCAGAAGCAAGCATTGCACTTTCAAGGGAATCATCTATCCCCAAATACTAAAACTGCAAAGGAATTTTGGCATGTCCAGGAACAAACTCTTGCCCTCCAAGAGTCTAAAAGAACTGGAATTTGATTATTGGGGTTTCCTACTTGGGTTTCTCCTTGCAGATTCCAACTCCACAGAGTGAACAGAGAGAGGAAATGGAAGATGCCACAGATGGACGAGGGGAAGGTAAGTGTGTCAGGGAGTGGCTCAGGAGTTCTGAGGGGTTGCCCCTGCCAGGGGTGGCTTGGCTGAGAGATAACTCCTGGGGAGATATCCAGAGGACTAGGGGGTACTCAGCATTGACCACCCTACCCCACAGCATCCAGCCAAAGCCCCGAGGACTCACTCCTGGGAACACAGTCCCGTGGCCATTTCAGCCGCCAGCCAGTGAAGTATCCCCGGGGAGGTGTGCGACCTGTCACCCACCAGCTGTCCAGCTTGGCCATGGTGGCTTCCAAGCTGTGCGAGGAGAACCCTATCATATCAGTGCCCCAAGGGAGTTTGCGGGGTTGGGGTCCTGGTCCTGCTGTTGCCTCCCCTGAAGGCAGCCCCCTGCGCCGCACCCCATTGCCCAAGCATTTTGAGATCACCCAAGAGACAGCCCGGCTACTCTCCAAGCTGGACAACGAGGCTGTGCCCAGGGCCACCTGCTGCCCAGACCCCCAGCCTGAGGAAGCCGAGGACCATCTCTGACCACCTCACCACCGTAAGGGACCCAGCACTGAGAAGATGGACCCATTTCTCCCCACCAATCCCTACCTGGTGGCCAAACAGGCCAAGAGTTCACTGTTGGCAGAGCCCAGAGAGTTCCTATCAGGAGAGACTACTCGGCCTGGGGGAGGCTTAAAACCCTTTTTGGAGCAATGTCCCAGGATACTCCCACCAGACACAGGTGACTGCCAAACATCAGGGCCACTCAGGCTCAGAGGTCACTCAGTGACAATGCTCAGGGTCAGTACAGGTCATGAGAACCTTGGGGTCCACCCTAGTCTCTAACCCTTCAGACAGGGATGCCTTTTGCTACTTTGGTTGTGGTCACTCCCCCACCCCTACCTGCCTCCTTCGCTGACTCCAGGTGACCCTTCTTGGAGGAGGTGGGCAGCCAGACTTCCTGGTGGTGACTGGGGTATGGATGGTCTCTGAATAAACTGTCTTGTACACCCTTGTGTGTCTGTCTTTGCCAGGGGAGGGTGGCAGGGGAGAGGCCAGCGAGGTCAGCACCCCTTACCCCCCATTTTACCGACCAGGGAAACGGAGACCCCCTTCCTTCATCCCCAAACACCCTTGAGCACCTACAGGCAATCGGTGCTGGGCCTGGGCACCCGATTGGGTCACTCCCTCCCGAAGCTCCGCGTCCGTGATCAGGTCCTGCACAATCAAACACAGTGTAACAAAGTGCAGATAACCGGAACAATGGGACTGTGTGCTCGGGCCGTGGGAGCCCGGCGAGGCCGGAGGAGGAAGCCGAAGGACAGGTCCGTGCAGGAGGCAGCATTTTCCCGTGGCGGTGTGTGCGGGGGCGGGAGTTCAACAAATTTGAGCGCGCGTGACGGTCAGCTGGGGACCGAGAGGCCGACCGCGCGCTGCGGCTTCGAGCCGGGGAAGCCGGGGCCGGGAGGGGGTCGGCGGGGGGAGTTGAGTCGGATCAGGGCGTGGTTTGTAACTCGGCGGCCGATTGGACACGAGGAGGCGGGCGGGAGGGGCCGAGTGAGTGGGGGTCTGGAGTGGGGGCGCGGGCCGTGGGACCACCCCGAGCCGGACCCGGGCGGCGCGAGGTCACGGCGGGAATTCTCGGGTCGCTGGGTGACAGCCCCAAGGGCCGAAACTGCGAGGTGAGCAGGGACCAGGGTGGGGGTCCCGCGCCGGAAATGAAGAGGGGCGACCGAGGAGCCTCGAGGCAGGGAGGAAATGGGGGGGCGGTTCCGGGCGACCCCGCCCTCGACGCGGCCGCGGAGGCGGGGCTCTCCCAGGTGGCGGGGGCGGGGCGGGGCTCCCCCAGGTGGCGGGGGCGGGGCTCAGCCGCCCGGGCTGGGGCAGGACCCGCCTCCCGCGCCCTCTCGACCGCCAGCTCCGGGCACACCCGGACGCTCCTTCGCTCCTGCCACGGTAGCTGGGCCATGGCCCTCGGGACCGTCCCGACCCCCCGCGAGCCTGCCCCGTCTGCGGCGTGACGGGCGGCCTAGGTGAGGCCGGCACCGACTGGGGAATTCTGGGCGCGGGTCCGAGGGAGGGTGCGGCACGTGCCTGTGGCGCCGGGAGCCGCCCCCTCCTGCCCTCCCCACCCCTCCCCCAGCCTGGGGGCGCCTGGAGGCCCTGCCCGTCACCGCCTCC